AATAAGCAGGTTTGTATTTACGTTTTCCCTCTTCTTGCTTGCTTTCTGCCTCTGTGGGCCTGTCCGTTATAGATGGATAAATAGACAAATAAGTAAAAAATATACATAGTATATATATATTATTATATATATATATATATATAATATATATATATATATATATTATATATTATATATGTGTGTGTGTGTGTGTGTGTTGTGTGTGTGTGTTGTGTGTGTGTGTGTGTGTGTGTGTGTGTGTGGTGTGTGTGTGTGTTGTGTATGTGTATGTGTGTGTATGTGTGTGTTGAACCGTATATCATGTTAGCCAAATGTGGAAAGCTATGAATGAAAAGGAGAATATCTTGACATACAAGAGATGTATTTAACCGGTTAAATACATCTCCTATATTGTGAATATCGTTCTCATTATACTTTCCACAATATATATATTTATATATATATATATATAATATATAATATGTGTATATGTGTGTGTGTGTGTGTGTGTGTGTTGTGTGTTTGTGTGTGGTGGTGTGTGTGTTGTGTTGTGTGATGTCTGTGTGTGTGTGGTGTGCGTGTGTGTGTGTGTGTGTGTGTGTGGTGTGTGTGTATTGTCAAGATTTACGTTACTGAAAATAATACCATGTTTACCATTAAAAGATCCTTTCTCATCTTGGAAAACCTATCATGGAAACATTTCCTTTCTTGTGGATCTTATTACTCTCAATTCGTCGCGTGAGGATAAAAAATCATTGTTTTTTGGAAAATAAGGAATTTTCCAACATTATCTTTGTTATCAGTGAGATATTTTTCATGTCATTATTACTGTGACCCTTATCATTCTATTATCGTTTCTGTATTTGTTATTATTGTTATTATCATTAATGCTTTTATTAATTTGGACATTATATACATCTTCATTAGTATCATCATTCTTATGCGTAATCATTGTCATTATTTGTATTATTTCTGATAATAGGATTACTATTATCATCAGTGTTATTCTATTGGTATCATTATAATCAATATCAATTATTTTTTTATCGTTATAATTATCTTATAATTTTTATCATTATTATCATAGTCATTATCCTTGATGTTATTATCAGTGTTGGTATCATTATCACAATTACCATTATTTATGTCATCATCATATTTCATTAATACATTATTATCATATCATTATTATTATTGTGGATAGTATATTTCTGTTTAAAATAACTACATTATGTTTATATATAATATTCCGTGAGTTGCCGCAACTACTTGGCATCTCACTCTAGCTGCTTGGCAACTCTCCCCGCTGGCTGTGCCCCGCGGACCGTAACGAGTCTGGCACGGAGAGTGTCACGGCTACCCTCTTGACGTATGGATGAACTGTCATATATCCGCTGTCTGTTCTGTGCAAAATAAAAAGGTCCAGAAAGAATCTATGGTGTTTGATAACCTTCAAGAGGTAATACTAATCTGGAGAAAGGAAAAACTGTTCTTCTATTATTCGTAATTATCTGGGGATTATAACACGCACGCATGCACTCTCTCTCTCTCTCTCTCTCTTTCTCTCTATCTCTCTCTTTCTTCTCTTCTCCTCTCTCTCTCTCTCTCTCTCTCTCTCTCTCTCTCTCTCTCTCTCTCTTCTCTCTCTCTCTCTCTCTCTCTCTCTCTCTCTTCTCTTCCTCCTCTCCCCTCTCCCTCTTCTCTCTCTCTCTCCTCTCTCTCTCTCTCTCTCTCTCTCTCTCTCTCTCTCTCTCTCTCTCTCTCTCTCTCTCTCTCTCTCCTTCTCTCTCTCTCTCTCTCTCTCTCTTCTCTCTCCTCTCTCTCTTCCCTTAACCACAATTATCATAGCACAATCATTGTTGTATTACTATTAATGTTATTACTATATATTATTTTTGTCATTATTCTGTTATCTTTTTATATCATTTCCATTATCATCATTGCCATACAGTAGTAACAGTATTAGTATTAACAATAAACGCAGTATTGATAAGGAGATCATGATATTAAAAGTAACTGATAATCATTTAAAATCCAAGTATAAAAATCAAAAAATATATAGTAATATTTCACGGATATCAACACATGTGACATAACCGTATACTGCAGTGATCTCTTACCAAAGCGTTCACGCATCGTTTGAAGTGTTTTGTGTTAGCCGAAACAAAGATATTTTTCCTTTGCTTTCTT